TGTGGGCGTGCGGATAAATCCTTTAGGAGGGGACTTGGAATCCGGCTTCAAGATCGGAGAAGAAACTTTTTCTGCTATTCTTAAGGTGGTAACACCTTTTGGATCCCAGCCATGGGCAAATAGTGAAATCTCCCAAACTGGGATCAAAACATTATGAAAATATAAACATACATTTTTGTACTAAGAATACCAAGAATGCATTTTCACAGTAAAAAAAAAAAAAAAAAAATACTAAAATACATTGGAAAAGTAAGAGAAAAATTAACAGCAATAAATTAAAAAAAAAAATTATGGAATCTCCTAAGAAAAATAATTCTGGCATTCAATGACCCATAAGGACCAAATCAAATCATGTAACATTCCGTGCAAGTGGATCTGCTTATGTTTTCTCTATTGGAACAAAATGGACACCATTGTCGTTGAGCCAGGAACGTCGAACGTCTGCTTTTTCATTCAAGGAGCAGCCTTTTTGAAATTTAGAGATGCTATCTTGAGGTAGGAAAAAATTATGATTATTTGTCATTTTATTAATTTATTATTGATTCGATATTGATTTTTTTCCGGATCATTTTCTGTTAATATCCTCAATATAAAAAAAAAAAAAAAATTCATATTTACACCAACTTCTCTCAGAGCGAGGTCTTTTCCATCGCACTCCGATACGGTTGAACTTTGCGATTACCCCAAATGTGGGCGACTATGGTGCACTATTTCTAAATGTGATGGGGGTCTGCATTTGCACTCATCGCGATAAACAAGTCAAAAACAGAATTTTTTTTCTTTAAATTAAAAAAAATCCTTGTAAGTAGTTCTAATATCATCCGTACTTCCAAAATGTGAATAATTCTTGATTCTTGGTATTTTTCATTCTGAGGGTTGCGAGGCAAGCTAAGAAAATTTTGATTTTTAAATTTATAAAGTGTCAAAAAAAAAAAACTTTGATTTAAAATTTATAATTTCTTTGGGTGAATTAATATTTACTTTCTTTTTTACAATACATTCATTATTTGGGGGTGAATTAACAAATAAGATGTTTTTTCTTTGATTAATATATAAATTAGTATGAGAAGTTATGCATTCTAAAACCATCACCTTGTGCTTCTCTCTGATGTCGAATATTTAGTGTTCGATTCTGGACTGAACACAGAACAACATTAGCCACAGTTTAAACAAAGATAGCACGGTTTCGTTCGAGAAACGAACTGGTTGTCTGGATAGTTGGGCTGCGCGAGGTGACCTCGTATTTTCAAGGCTAATGGACGTAGCTACCTTACGAGTTTGTCGCTGAACTTTCTACGGTTGAGGGTGATATGTGTGTTCTCGAATGGGGGTCCATGTAACAGTACTGGGGATCCGCAATCATATCTTAGTGGTCCATAGAAAAATTTTACTTCGGAACGGTCGTTATACCTGAGAATGGGAATGTCCTGACGCTAATCTACACCATATTAAAATACTAAAAATAGAAAAACTCTAAAATTAGCAGAAAATGAGATCAGGTGATGTAAGTTAGCGTCACTTTTATTTTATCGAATGTTTTGATTGTAAAAGTCGAATAAAAAACATGAAAAGAATATATAAAGGAAGGATTATATATATATATATATATATATATATATATATATATATATATATATATATATATATATAAGAAGACTAACAGTATTAACCTCTTCAGCAGCCAGGTGATATTTCCGGTAAGACCCTGAGATATATATATATATATATATATATATATATATATATATATATATATATATACATAAATAAATGTTCCACAGAATTTAGTTGTTAAATACAAGTATAAAAATTAAATTAGTTTTACTCCAAAATAAAGCATATGCAGTTACTATTTCTATAATACAATTCCTAAACTTGGCGCTATTACATCTCCCCACCCCCAATGACAGTCAACCTAACGATGTTTTTTTTTTGTTGTTTTTTTTTGTCTTTGATTCTTTATTTCACTTTAAAAAAAATACTAATACAAATAGATTTCCCTTTTTTTTCTCAATATTTGTTTTATAATTTGTAGATTTTAATTTTTAATACATTTCATTTCTTTAGCTTTCTGACATTCTTTTTAAAAACTTTTGACAGCAGAAACACATTTTTACAGAAGGTTTGTAAAACCATTGCTAATGTTTGTAAAGTAAATTTTAATTATTAATAATTGCAACAATCCAACTGTTATTTTATATTTTATGAGGATACTTTTTAAAAAATCCACTGCTTTAAAAATCAGTTTCTTTTCATTTTATAAATTTATCTTTATTTATTTAGCGGAACTAGTAAATAACAGACAATTTTTAGCACGTTTTTTTTTGGTATAACACATTAATTTGGAAAATCTTGCAAAAATATAAATTGTTGGATGTTAACGAAACTTTCAGAAACTATTCACAGATGATCGAAATTATTATAAATATGTTTTTGTTTTGTTTTTTATTAAAATCATGGCGGAAATATTTTTTTTAAATATTTATTACTCCCCCCGCTAACTAATTTTATGAAAACTCTAGAAATTCGATCGCATCGGGTTTAGTGATTACAATAGTTAAAAGCACAAGGCTTTGAGGAATGCAAATCATGTTTTTTTTTTTGTTGTTGTTTTTAATTGGATCCCCCCCACCTGAAAATCAGCTCTGAATTGTAACATACAAAACTCAATAAAACAAAGATATTATTTAATTTCAAATGCTTTTATTTGCTTTTAGTTTTAGTTACGGACAATACTTTCTGAAAGCAAAACTTTTTTTCGATGAAAAATGAATTTTTAATACAATTATTTGTTATTTCTTAATTATAAAAGATTTTTACATTTAAGTTGTTAAAATATTATAAAATTAGTTAAAAGCCGCATCGGCTTTCCTAAGTTTCCTAATGAGATAGATGTTTTTTTTAGCGCGTTGTAAAATGTATCATTTTGACTAATCAGAAGATACGTAGTAATTAAAAATGTGATTTTGTGTTTATAATCAGGCTGTAATTATAAAGTACGGAAGACCAACTAGAATACAATTAAGCTGCGTTATTTGAGTTATGCATTGTTCTCCACTGTTAAGGCTTTTACTTTTGCGAAACACGTGCGGAGAAGTTAATTTGATTTTTCAATTTCAACTGAGAAGGGTACCTACAAGTATCAGTATCCTCTTATGAAAATTATATGATCTTATTTTTATATTAATCTCAGTTAGGACATTTTCCATAAATGAAATACAGTGTAACCCGGATATAAGAGAGTTGTCGGGACCGGAGAAGAAGTCTCTTATATCCGGGTTTGGTCTATTTTATATACATTAACAGAGGCTCTAATTTGGGACCAGAGAAATCTCTCTATATCCGGGTTTCTCTTATATCCGGGTTTGGTCTATTTTATATACATTAACACAGGCTCTAATTTGGGACCAGAGAAAATCTCTTTATATCCGGGTTTCTCTTATATCAAAATTTGGTAATTTTATATACATTAATACAAATTTGGGACAGAGAAAATGTGGCTTAATCCGTTTCTCTTATATCCGGGTTTGGTCTATTTTATATACATTAACACAGGCTCTAATTTGGGAAGAGAAAATTCTTATATATCCGGGTTTCTTATATCCGGGTTTAATTAGATATACTTTCTAATGCTCTAATTTGAAATTAAATGAAAATCTCTTATATCCGTCTTCTATTTTATATACATTAACACAGGCTTTTTGGGATATAAAATTTTATATCCGGGTTTCACTGTATCAAAATTAATAATAAAATGAATGGAAATACAAAAATAAATAAAAAAAAAAAAATGTACATAAAATTGAAATTTTATGTACTTTAAAATAAAGAAAGGTATCTATAAATTAATTAGATTCACTTAAAATATAAAATTAAATCATTTAACAGTCTTATTTTTAATTTTTTAGAATATATTTTCCATAAAGCATCGTAAACGTAAAGGTGAAAGAACAAACAAAAAAAAATTAGAGCCTGAAAGTTTTCCTTAAAAATAACGAGGTAAATAATTTGTTCACGTGTATATCATTTCATCCCTTCCGTAGAACAAATTAGTCACGGAATCCGTAAATATGTCATCCATCACCTGTCAAGTTTTTGACCTGCTTTGTTTTATTTTCAAATTACATCTTTTCGGTACAAAAAGCTAAGTTAAGTTTGTTCAAAATATTTTAAATAAACATTATAATTTCTGATTTTCTTAAAATAAGTTTTGAAAAATGATAATTGATATTTAAAAGAATTTCAAAGTGAGATTTCAGTTTTTTTTTTTAAAATGAAAAAAAAATCAATTTTTTGCTGACTCAAAAAACAAGATTTTTAACGAAAATTTCGGACGTGCTAGGAACGATTAAAAATGGAAAAAATACCCCTAAAATACTTTTGATCTTTCCTCTTAATAATAACAAACATTTAGACGATAAAGTTTTGTTTTCGTCAAGTTTGGCGTTTTTTTCATCATGCTATGCTCATTTTTTTTTTTTTTTTTTTTGTTTTAGCGATCTCGTGGCGGTACAAAGAGAAACAAGGTTTTTTAAATCAAAATTTCGAATGTTCTAAAAAGAAGGGAAATTTTTTAAAAGTAATTAAAAAAACCTTTAGTTTTTCATCTTAGTAATAACATTTAGACGATAAAATTTTGTTTTCAGCAAGTTTGGTGTCTTTTTCATCAAGCTATGCTCTTTTTTTAGCGATTTCGTGGAGGTACCTAAATCTTTATTTATCTTATCTTTATTTATAAATTTACTTTTTTCGTGGGGGTTGCGAAAGTGTAACAGCGCTATCAAATTATCTATTAGTAAAAAAAAATAAAATTAGCTTTATTTTTAATCGAATGGTTATGGAGGTCCACCACCCTAAAAAAAATAATGAAGACTAAATGTGATTCATTTTTTTTTTTTTTTTTATATACCCATGAATCACTTTTACTCTTCATTTTTCAGGTTTGAGAACCACTGGTTTAGAGTGTCTTCTTTGCCACGTAGGTGCCAATAGCGAGTTGAATGAGCAGGAGAGGTAGGGAGTTCAATTATCGCATCGTTTAAACATTCGGCGATAAGACACGTGAATCAGAATTCAGTCCGGTTACACTACAGACACCGGCTGTTTCTTTTTATCGTTAATGATACTCTTTTTTTTCTTTTTTTTTTTTTATTTAAGTTTCTGTTTTGATTTTCGTTTGGTCATTAGATTTTCTGAACAGCATAATCAATAGGGAAGAGATTTTTTTTTCTTTTTGCGATGTCGGAGCGAGGTGGGTAGAAACATTTATTTACAACTAATGCTTGACTTATTATAGTCAGATTTTGGATGTCACTCTTACTTCGGCCTTATACCATTCTGCTCGCCGGTTAATATCAAGAAGCCGGCTTCAAGGTTGGAGCAGAGGTTGCTTCTGCTATTCTTGCAATGTGAAGAAGGAAAAAAAAACAAAGTTTGATGGTACCACCAGCTAATACTGGTGTGCCCTGGTTTACTACTATTAATATTGGTACCACCAGCTAATACTGATGTGCCCTGGTTTACTACTCCAGTGTAACCCGGATATAAGAGAGTTGTCGGGACCGGAGAAGAAGTCTCTTATATCCGGGTTTCTCTTATATCCGGGTTTGGTCTAATTTATATACATTAACACAGGCTCTAATTTGGGACCAGAGAAAATCTCTCTTATATCCGGGTTTCTCTTATATCCGGGTTACACTGTATTAATATTGGCACCCAAAAGCATACGTTACCTCGGGGTCATCATGAGGTCTATGGCCTCAATACCGCTAACCTAGAGTGTTCCAGTTGTACTTTGCGATACAAGCAGTAACGTTTAAGTTATTCATTTAAAAGTATATACATTTTTACTCAGAATTTTAAGTAATCTTTACATTAAAAAAAAAATGCATCCCTTAAACAATATTTAAAAATATAACTCAAAAATATCTACATTTAAAATTTTGATAGCTAAAAATATAAACAGAAAGTGTATTCTGAAATGAGGTATTGTAATTATTTACATTGTTCGGACTATTGCCCCTATGTTGCCATATTCCCGACGTTTCGGTCGTTGTACGATCCGGCTTTCCTCAGTTTCAGAAGAAGGTTATTTCGTCCATCGAGGTAGATTGTTCTTGCCCCATGCCTCAGTTATCTCCCTTTAGCTCAACTCTCCAAGTTTTTGTTCACCACTGCAGTAGCCAGGTATTGAACTCGCAGTACTTTGGGCCAAGTCACTGGATCCAATCAAAACTTTTATCCACTCTGCCCTTGAGGAGATCCGTGTATGAATTTTGGGGATTATAAGCTTAATGTCTCTGTAAATATTTCTTTTTACCAGAGCTCATATTGAAAATTTTTGTTATTGTTTTTCCTCTAGCACTCCGTATTACCTGTTCCTATATTGTATTTATTTCTGTTTGGTCTGTTTAGGGAATCGTGACCTAGAATGTGCTGATTCCTTATTTTTCAGTGATTTTCTTTATTTCAGCCTCATCCCACAGGAGGCGTTGATCTTTTTTCCTTCCATATATGGTCAGTTACGCCTGATTTTTCTATTTTCCCTCGTGTCACGGCTTTACGATGTTCTTACAGTCTTATCTTAAGGGGTCGGCTTGTTTCTCCACAAAATTCCGCTTGGGCCAACTGTTAGCTCCCAAGGTTGTGTGTGTCACCCTCTGATTCGCTTCCTGGGAGATATAATTGATCCATTAATAGGAAAGTCACCTTCATATGTCCGAAAGTTGGTAAGGCTGATAATTTTTCAATGCTATTTCGTCTATATCATAATTTTTGTTCAAACTTATATAAACTTGTATGGCAGAATTTATATACACGTTGTAATATTAGTTTTGTGATTACTATTTTTTTTTTAATTGGAAAGTTGACGAGTTTGGTAGTCCCTCTAATCATGAGAATCTCTCACATTTTGGTTTGATCTTATACTATTGAGATAATACTGAAATATAACTGACTGTTTTTGTTAACGAGAATGAATAGACAAAGGCTCCCTGGTAACGACTGTTTCATAAGAGAAAGAGTCTAATTTATTGCCACGATACAAACTTTTCTAATAATGATAATAAAAAAAAAAAACGCCCTGCTAAAATTCACCCTACCTCACGTCTGACCAAATAAACAGAAGAGAAAAAAATGATTTCTGTTAATGCCAAACAAGACGACTTTAATCAAAGAAGTCTTTTTAAAAGAGGAAATTCTCTTCCACTCCCCACCTTTGCGGAGGAACATATTGGACCGACAGTTACGATCGATTATCGGTCTTGTTGGTGTGGGATGAGTGTTGCTTGCATGTGACACCAGAGGGCGGTTTCATAATGAGAAATCGTAGACCTGACTAAGCGGCTTGGAAAAGATGAAATAAATAAAAAACCCAAGGGACAAATAGATAAGTGATTTAATCAAAACAAGTTATCATTAAGTGGTGAATTATGCTCTATTTTTCCATACATACTGACACACTGGCGCGAACACACTGGGATGAGTTTTTCATGCTCGTTCTCGTATCGTCTGACGTGTTCAAGTCTATGCAGAAAATCTTCATAATTCCTGTCGCTGGTTTGAATGCATTCGGCCATTCTCTGGTTATCCTCGGGAATAAGACATGGGTGTCATTTCGAATGAAGAAAACCGATAAAATTCCTCATCTGAAAAACGAAAGGCAAAATTATCAAAAGCGGGTAGTACCTTACTAATGATCATCAAATGTTGAAACTATCTGGCCTTAAAAATAAAGACACCACCGACTTTATTCAGATGTTGTAGCTGATATAGGTGTTAGCCTGCAAGTGTGTGTTGTGATATGACCAAAAGAAACAATTATGTATGGAGTTGCAATTCGTGTATTAAGTTTGATTTTGAGAACACTTCTAGTAGTGACGATACGATTATATATATATATATATATATATATATATATATATATATATATATATATATACACACACACATGCATGTACCGAGAAGTGCGGGAGAAGAACCCATGTTGACATCTAGCCTTTTCAACAATAAAAATGTGACCTAGTAGCCAATTTAGTACTGCGCTTAAATTCCTAAATTCTATTTACCAAAGAGAAAAGCTCATCGGAACAATTACCATAAAAAAATATTTATAGAAATATCACAAAGAAGCTATGTTACAACGATGGAAAAGTGACTGAAGTCTAGATGCCTGATCAGGACCATTACTATTGCAGATTCTTTCTGGATTCTATCAAAAATCTAAATGCATAGAAGCACCAGACTAGATGTGGTACCAATAGTCACTGCATGTACGAATGTTCCACTTGGATTCTGGTGATAAATATTTGTCTAGCACGACACAGTGAACCAACTTTCCTAGCAGCAGACTTATCCGTTGATTCAATATAATCTTGCCACTTCATATCAACAGAAAACGTTAGCCCGAAAAGTCTCAAGGAGTCACTCTTCGGGAGGTCAGCATGAACATGAAATGCAAAAAAAATTGTTCACCCGCGCGATTAATACACAACTGTTTAATTAACAAGCCACTCCTTGTCCCAGTTAACAACAGTTTGGGTTTTTCTTTAAAACGGCTGCCAATTTGAACTGATCGGTCTGATCAAACTTACTATCAAGACAGGAGTAAGTTGTGATGTTATCAGCATAGATACAGATTTGAGAACTGATTCAGGAAGTTCGTTTGATGAAAATTAAAAAAAAACGTAGGTCCGAGGATAGATCCGATGGCGAAACCTGCATTAATACAGAAACATGTATAAGATTTATTTTTTATCTTCCATGCCTGACAACGTTAGCTTTTTTACCCTGGCACTGCTTACAGTGAAGTAATGGGTAGCGGCTCGTATTGAGGTATCGGAGAACCGAGTTCGAATTCCACTCGAATCCATTACATTCACTTACGTGCTAACAAGTATGAATCCTTTTCTTCTCCCCCCCCCCCAAAGCTATGGATAAATAGCAGGACAGATCTGCGTTGGTTGGCAACTGGTCTAAAATGATAGAAATGGAAATCTACTGAGGGGAAAAAATCTGCCTCGTCAGTCATATATCGAAAGATACATGATCGCGTAAGCGTGTATCATGTATGGCACATAACTGATTGACTGCTTCCTACGTAGCCTAAGTTTCATTCTTTTAGAGATGGCCAAAAGTACCCTGAGAATATAGGCCTCCAATGTAGGGCTTCGGTCACCGAAAATGCACGAATTTTAACCCATTCAGAAAAGATTTAAGCATGTATAGTTCAATCGGTCACCGGCAACGCATGGTTTTTAACCTCGTAAAAATTCCCGTGTATAGTAAGAACGACTACATTTTGCGTAAAAAATGATTGCAAAACCTCGCACGATATCGAGTCTATACGGTCAGCGTAAAAACAAGGAAGATTCGGTTCCATGCTGGGCTATAGATCTTTCAGAGGACTCAACAATGGCAAATGTTCTACTTGGCTCTATTGGGTAATAGTTGAAATCTATGAATAGAAAATTTAGTACACCTTCGCTCTATGCGGGTGGCCATGTTCCAAACTTAAATCCAAACAGCTCAATAAATAAATTCACATAAGATTTATACGGAACTAGTAAATGAAACGGCTTATGTTTAGTGCAATTAATGACACATATTCCTATTTGAAATTCACATTATGCCTCGAGAGAATTTTTTTTCTTTTATTACTTTGTTTGGGTTTCTGAAATCTGACGTGTTTGATTTCTGAGGATGAAGAAAAAAATTTTTTCATGTAAGATTCATAAACTCAGTCGGAAAGCTTTCATTGATATTCTGAAAGCCATGTGAAAACTATGTCGAGGAAACAGGACCACTTGGAGGGAAAACTTCAAAACAAAAATCGAATGACTTATGAAAATTATTGGGCTGCTTTAGAATTTCACATAAAAGAAAAAACTGAATAGACAAATATATTCTAGACATATATAAGGATAACGGCAAAGTTCTCGCTGCCATTCTTTGTGCAATATTAGCGAAATCTTAGAAGGGTCAATAAGATTTATTCAGCAATTTAGTATTGCTTTTGTAGTCAACTGCACTACAAGACTTGTAAAAAAAAAAAAAAAAAAAAAAGTTCCGACGCTATGAATTGGTTTTCAAAGCAAGTTATGGAAGCTAATATTGGTCAGCATTTTGTTTTTTTTTGTTTTTGTTTTTTTTTGTTTTGTTTGTGTGTTTTTTAAGGCAATTCACCACAAGCAAGACGAGAGTGCCACCAGCACGGAAGGAGTTACAGAGGATTAGGAACAAGAGTGAAGAGGTGTGTTTGAGGAAAGGATACAGAGAAGGTCGGGGAACAAGCTCAGGATGTCAAACGTCGATTGACATTACACTTGAATATTTGAAGATTATAGTCATCGGGGAAGCAAGTAAGAGGAAGGGAGTTCCACAGACGGGAAGTGCAGGAGAAGAAGCTGTTTGAGAAGAAGAGACAGTTACATTTAACCCTTTTTGACAGTGAAAGGGTGTGACTGAGATACCAGCCTGGTAATTCATGAAGTCCGGGAACCAACGAAAGTAGCTCGTCGGAACAGTTGCCGTGAAAATACTTGTAGAAGAGATAGAGGGAGGCCACGGCACGTCTCTGAGAAAGCGACTGTAGACTAAATGCCAGATTAGGACATCACCTTGCATATTCGTCTCTGGATTTTATCAAACATCTCGATACGTACTGCGGGAGCACCAGACTCGATTTATATGACAAAATGTGTATCTCGCTTTCTCACGACAGTCTTTCTTGAACGATGTTCCACCGTATATTTAGGAGTATTTTGCATATGAGAAAAATCTCGATTTTATATATAGGTTTCTGCAGGATTGACATTGTGGGGATCGTGTAACGCATGCAAGTATGGAGGAATCGATAAACAATTCAAATTATTACTTACCCTGTTTCGTTCACGGTAATATTTACCAGTTTGATTTATAAGGAGACCTTCATCATTCATTGACCGAGAAGCCAGTGCTACACGAGTTAAGCTTTTCTTTGCTCTCTGGTCGTCGAGCTGAGCTCACAGTGTACTATCCATTCTCATCTATAATGATAATGTTAGCTGTTTCCTTGTAAGGAAACCTTCAGCATTCACTGACTGAACAGCCACTGCTACTCAAGTTACGCTTTTCTTCACTTCCTCGAGCTGTGATCAAGGTGTAGTATCTGTCTTCTTCATCTCTGTTGTTAATGGCATTAATAGCAGTTTCCTTATAAGGTAACGTTCGTCATTCACTGACCGAACAGCCGGTGATATTTTAGGTTGAAATTTATAAAATCTTTCTATTAAAACAATTTCAGGATAATAGGTTTCACATCCAGTAACTATGGGCGTTTCTTTCCTATTCTTTCCATAGGGGTTTGAAAAGGAAGGAAGAATAGAAAAAAATGTGGGGTTGAAAGGAAGGAAGGATACAAATAAAGGCGTATAGAAAGTAAGGAAGGATAGAAAAAAGAGGATTGAAAGGAAGGAAGGATAGAAAAGGGGGAAGGAAGGATAGAAATAAAGGCGGAAAGAAAGGAAGGACAGAAATAAAGGCGTAAAGGAAGGAAGGAGGATAGAAATAAAGGCGTGAGGGAGGAAGGATAGAAATAAAGGCGTAAGAAAAGAAAGGGAGGAAGGATAGAAATAAAGGCGTACAGAAAGGAAGGATAGGAATAAAGGCGTAAGAAAAGAAAGGGAGGATAGAAATAAAGGCGTAAAGAAAGAAAGGATAGAAATAAAGGCGTAAAGAAAGAAAGGATAGAAAGAAAGGATAGAAAGAAAGGCGTAAAGAAAGAAAGGATAGAAAGAAAGGCGTAAAGAAAGAAAGGATAGAAAGAAAGGATAGAAAGAAAGGCGTAAAGAAAGAAAGGATAGAAAGAAAGGCGTAAAGAAAGAAAGGATAGAAATAAAGGCATATGGAAAGGAAGGAAGGACAACAATGTCCGAACGAATAAAAGTAAAGACAAGTAGGAGTATAGAAAAGGCGGTGAGGAGGAAGGAAGGCAAGCAAGCAGGTGAGGCGGGGGGGGGACAACGATAGAATTGGAAATTTTTATATGCTTGAAAACAAAAGCTGGAGACATAAGGAATATAAGCTGAAGAAAAAAAAATAGTGCAAGACAAAATCACAATTTTAAAAAGTGAATAAACCTGTACATTCTCTTTCACCTCAGCTTCAGTATGGCGGTTGTAATCGTCAAATTCTTATTTTCCCGCGCGTGGTATCACCATTGAATTAATGACCGGTTACGCACTCATTGTCACGGCACAAACTGTTGAAACCGTGAAGATTTCAGATCATTGTGTAATAAACGTGTAATTAACTACGTCAACAGATCAGATAATTAATAACCTAACATTTAATAAGATGCCTTTCGCTATTCTGGCAATGTTATCTCGATGGAACATCCTTTGTGCCAGCGCGCTCTCACACACACACACACACAGATATATATATATATATATATATATATATATATATATATATATATATATGCTGCGATGGGTAAATTGTCGCCAGGTTATATTTCTACTTTCACGAATGCACGTTGTTTATTTTTCATTTTGTCGATTGCACAGTATAGTAGGGTCAGTTGGGCACCGTCTGTGAGAAAAAGAGCACCGTGACGCAATTCACTCTGCCAAAAATCTGGAAAAGGCATGCTGTACTGATTGGCATTCGCGCATTTCGGGGTGTTTGAATATCAGTCTGAGGAGAGTTCAGAGGATTCGGAAAGAGTTGGATGAGTCTAATGGTGATTACGAAGATTTGAAGTAATCATTAGTGACGCCGACGTTATGCCACAGGACCTCAGTCAACACGGAGGCCTACATCATGTACCTTGAGAAGGTAGTGCTGCACTGGGTCAAGCGGATGGCTGCTAGAAGACCTTGTGACTGGCAACAGGACTCTGCACCACGCCACACTAGCAGGAAAACCCAGTCATGTCTGTCAGACAATTTCTGCGATCACATCACCCCTTACATCTGGCGACTTAACTCCCCAGACTGCAACTCTCTTATGCGTTGAAGGTAGCTGAGCGAGAGACCAACAAAACCCCTTGTAACATCAAAGATGAACTGAAGGCAAGGATTATGACATAATTCACCGACTAAAACAAGGAAACCGTCCAGAACAGTTTCGGGAGATTCCGAAGTCGTCTGCTGGACATGGTTGAAGCCAATGGCGATATTATTGAATAAATTTACTCTATTATTTCAAGATAGTTTTGTGTAATTTTGATTAATTTTTCTGTTAAAATGAGATTTCAGTGTTCTTTTCATTTTTATGTAATTTAGACCATAATTTATCCACCGCACCCTGTGTGTGTGTGTGTATATATATATATATATATATATATATATATATATATATATATATATATATACACGCACTCCATTCCAGTCGAATCCAGTTACTTTCACTTACATGCTAATACCCTTGGGAAAGGTGTGAATCCTCTTCTTCTGCCTCCAGCTAGGGGTAAATAGCAGGACAGACTGGGTTTTATAGCCTTGGATGGCAACTGGTCTAAGAAACAGACAACTCTGAATTCAAAACCTGCTGAGGGTCATTTGGGGACCTTGTGGCACGTAGTGCACCAGGTCTCTGTATTCGGCCCTTCAAAATGTGTGGTTGGTTCTGCACAAAACCTTCACCACTATAATCAAATCTCATGTGCTGGTGTTGGTTTCCTTGGAACTGATCTGTTTGACGAGAGAGTCGAATATATATACACGCACATATCTGGCGTAACAGCATATCTATCTAAATCGTATAACAGCATAATTATTCATCCCAAAAATATCTAAAAAAAAAAAAAAAAAAAAAAACCCTCCAAACTGAGTTTCTTTTTTCCAGCTTTTCGCATAAGACGTTTAGCAAATTTGCCCCCGTTCTTCGTAAGAATCTCAGGAAAAAATCCCTTTGAGTTATTCAGCTGAAAAGAAAGATTAAAATCGTTTTGTGAAGAGTTTCACTATGTCTTCCCAACTGAACAATGGTGAGAGTATAAAGATCATTCAAGCCTTCAATAATAGTACCGACATTCATACACTGGCTTTCATCTTCAAAGTCCATTTAAGAACCATCAAGAGAACGGTGAATACGTTTTAAAAAAAAAAAAAAAAGACTGAACAGTAGAGAGGAAAACTGGATCAGGAGGTCACAACAGGAAGAGGGATCATCATTTCAGCTTAGAGCTAGAGAGAACAATTAGAAAAGATCCAACTCGATTTATTTGGAACGTGAGAGAACAGTTTCAGCTCTGACAGTTCAAGGAGCAGTGATAAAAGACTTGAAAATAAAATCCTACGTGAAACATGTGAGGAAACTTGTTACTCCAGGACAGAAAGTTACAAGGTTAGAGAGGGCGAAGATCATCTTGAATATATATATATATATATATATATATATATATATATATATATATATATATATACTTTATTTCAATAATTTGTGATCTTCCGAACCTTAGTTATGACTAGCAGTAGAACCCGGCGGATGTAACAGTAAGAGATAGATCAAGTATCGACCATCATAAAGACTGAAAAATAAAATTGACAAAGATTGTTTATGGTTGACGGACACGCATGTCTTAATTAGTTTTATTTTGTTTGTTTTTTTTTTTACGAATTGGTCAAACCCAATTTCAAACAAAAACATTGTTTTCAATCGTTATGAGTCTACCGATTGAATAGAATTTTATTATAAACAATTGCCTTGTAAATGGAATCTTTAAAGCATTCTGAATGTAAAAAATAAAGAAAAAAGTGTGCAAGACAATAAGAAACACTACCTACCAAAAAATGAAATTTTGTTGAAATCGGTGGAAAAATGTAGGAAATCCGATCCCATATATAAACGAACACATACACACAAACAACCAACCTGGGTTTTATAAGTATAACTCGATATGAGTGTCCCCCTTTCATTCTTGCGACAGAATTGTTTTATCGTGTTTTCAAATTGATTTTGTGCAAAAACAATTGTGTTTTTCCAATTTTTGGCACTGTCAGAACCACCGCAAGGTAATTTTACGTAGTCCTGTGAAGTTTTGTTGAAATCGGTTGAAAAGTGTAGGAAATCCGATCCAGTATATAAACGAACACACACACACACACACACACACACACACACACACAACCTGGGTTTTATAAGTATGATTAATTAATGATGAACATGTCATTTTGTTTATGATCAATTTCACCACGATTCTTCTTTTAAAACTTAGAGTAATTATACATTCTTATTGTTCAAAGTAGTCCAATAGTGTTATAAAACCTCGGAGAATTCCAGTATGATATCTTTAATCATTTCTAAGATACAGCTGTTCAGAGCTTAATTTTACAATTGGACAATTTTGCTGTTACACCCGGTGTCCCTTTCTGTCTTATATCGATAAGGGAAAGATGAATAGATATGTAGAGAAACCTCTACATAAAATGGATACCTAATTTTACCTGAGAAATTGCTTCCGACATTTTTTACTGCCGGCATCCCAATTTAAACCCGAACCATTTCCAAAAAATAGAGGCAATAAATCTGTTTCTATGGAAGACAATCGTAACTGGGATGGATAAAATAACATTAGCAACGATTAAAAAATAAAAACAGGATTACACTAACTCACATGACACACTCGTTCATGAGACCACCGAGCGAATTACTTTCTACACACACACACACACACACACACACACACACAATATTTTAATTTTTATTTGTTAATCAGGTTTCACTCTCATTCGACTTGTTAAATAAACGTTAGTAATAATTCATAGTGTTCTGAATTCAATGAGACGACGAATCCATTCTAACTTCGAAGAAATTAAATCCCAAGCCTAACTGAAAACCGCT